TCTTGTATTTCTCAATCTCTAGTAATCACCATGCTTTCAGGTTGTGATTTGTGTGTGTTTGAACTTCCACATTATTAGAGAACGTCTGGTACTTGTCTCTTTGTGTCTGGCTTATTTCACTTAACCTATTTTCTCCAGTTCCATCCATCTTGCTGCAAATGACAGGATTTCATTCTTCTTTATGGCTGAGTAATACTCCATTGTGTATACATACTAGATTTTCCTCATCCATTCATCTGTTGATGGACACTTTGGCTGAACCCAATCTTAGCTATTTTGAAGAATGCCACTATAAGCTCTTTCAGGAATGGGGCTAAAGTGATCAAGATGTAACTCAGTGGTGAAGCACTAGCTTATCATGCATGAGGTACTGGGTTTAATACCTGCACCACAAAAAGAGAAAAATAGTTCAAAATGAAAAGGTCTTTCAGAGTTGTTTTCTTTCTTTCTTCTTTTTTTTTGGTGGAATTGGGGTTTAAAGTCATGACTTTGCACTTGCAAAGCAGGCTCTACTGCTTGAGTTCTACTTCTAGTCCATTTTATTCTGGTTATTTTGGAAGTGGGATCTCACAAACTATTTGCCCATTCTAGCCACACCACCATCCTCCTGATCTCAGCCTCCTAAGTAGCTAGGATTACAAACTTGATCCCCAGTGACCCAGCTTAGAGTTTCTTTCTTACTTTCCTTTTTCTTTTCTTTCTTTTCTTTTTTTGTACCAGGGCTTGAAATCAAGGCCTTCATCTTGATCCAATCCACCAGCCCTTTTTGTGGTGGGTATTTTGGAGATAGGGTCTCATGAACTATTTGCCCTAGCTGGCTTCGAACCTCACTCCTCTTGATTTCTGTCTCCTGAATAGCTAGAATTACAGGTGTAAGTCTCCTGCTCCTGCCTAGAGTTTCTTTTATTATAGTTTTTTCTTTTATTTTCATACCAGGAAGGGGAGGATGATATCTGCCTGGCTATAAACTTACATGATTGGGTGTAGACCCAGCTACATGGAGATTTGAGGAAAGGAGGCCAGTTTTCCCAGTCAACTCCTTGTTATGATCAAGGGACCTAGTAGAATGTTGGAAATGGCCCTCTCTTACAACTCAAGGGTTTTTGTTCTATGGTTGTTCACTACCTCCTTCCCTCCTTTTTCTCCTTTCATTTTCCCAACTCACTCTAACACACATCTTTTTAAAATTACTTTTTATTTTTTATTTATCACACATTAATAATATGAAGAGATTTCATTGGGATAATTCCACACAAGCTTACGGTGTATCTTGAAAAATTCATCTGTTCTATTATATTCCCATTGTCCCTCTCCCTCTTCCTCCCTCTTTCAGTGTTTGCTGGGTTTCATTATGCTGTCTTCATAAGTACGTATGTAGCATATGTTCATCCACTTCCCCCTCAGTATCCCTTCCTTTCCCTCTCATACTGATTCCTACCAGATAGGCTCCCATACATAGTCATGTCCAAAAATCATCACTGTCATCTTCATTTCAGGTCTAGGTTCCACAAAAGTGTGAGAACATATGATATTTGACCTTTGAGATTGACTCAGCATGATGATCTCCAGTTCCATCTATTTTCTGGCAGATGACATAATATATCTTTTTTCTTTTCCAGTTCTGAGGATAGAGCCCAGTGCTTTTACACATGTGAGTCAAGCACTTTCCTATGGACTTACACTCCTAGTCCCAAATACAACTTTCTAAGGAAGAAATCATGTGAAAGTTGAGAATCTCTTTTAAAATCCTAATATAACTGTTATAATATAACCATTTTATTATATATACATATATGCATTTATGTGTATATACATACATTCATATAACCAATACATTATACATGTATGTATCTATATATACACACACATATACATATATAGGAATATATTCACAAACATATACATATATATACACACACATAATATAACTAATACAGCCAATGAGTGAAAATTTTGTGCTACCTAGTTTATTTTTTCCCTTTCCATATGCATTTGTGGAATGTGAGAACTGAATTATATTCCCATTACACAGATGAAAAACAAAAGTTCCAGCAGTTTCAAGGTTTTACTTCCATGACTTTCCACAGGATTTGAATCAAATGTGCAAATTGTATTCCATGTTCTAGCAACTTCAATAGTAATGGCACTTAAAGTTTGGTCCCACCATGGGCAGTGTTAGTGAGACTTGTTAGAAATGCAAATTCTAAGTTCCCACACTAGACATAGTAAATCTGAATCTCTTGGGTGGGATCCAAAGTCCAGTGTTTTAACAAGCCCTTTGGGTAATTTGACTCACACTAAAGTTTGAGAGCCACAATGGTGGAGTAATTTTCATCTTCCTAGAGAGTAATTCTCTAGTCTCTGTCCCTTTTTTATTCCCTGCTGTGTGGACCTGGGAGGATGGGTGTTGAAAGCTTTGTGATTTTCTTTGTCTTTTCATGTCTGACCCCTGAGGGTTCATTATGGATGATCACTATACCTTTATTTGTGAGAATAATTGCAGGACAATTAGAAAACCATTCTGTTCTTTGTGACTTCTATGCATCCTGCAATGAAGAATCCTCTCCCAGGATCTAGAGGTGAAGAGGGGACAGAGTTGATGAAGATCTAAACCTTTCACAGACTGTGGATCCTTCCAGGATATGCCACTATCCTTTCTGAGCTGGACATGGAGGTGATCTTACCAAGAACAAAGAAGAGAGAGAGAGAGAGAGAGAGAGAGAGAGAGAGAGAGAGAGAGAGAGAGAGAGAGAATGGCTCTATTTCCTTAAAAGGGGCATTTCTATCCATGAAGTTTGAGAAAGGAGGGGCAGGTGATTTCTAAAACACCAGGAAGGAGAGGGGCAGAAATAAAAGTAAAGGAGAGCCTAGCACAGCGCAGGAGGCTTATGCCTATAATGTTAGCTACTCAGGAGGCAGAGATCAGAAGATCATAATTAGAAGCCAGCCCCAGGCAAATAGTTTTTGAGACACTATCTCAAAAAACCCTTTAAAAATAAATGGCTGGTGGAGTAGCTCAAGAGGTACCTCAAGTGTGAGGCCCTGAATTCAAACCCCACTGCTGCAAAAAAAAAAAAAAGAAAAGAAAAAAAAGTAAATAAAATAAATCAGAATGTGTTCCCTCAACACTTTTTAATTAAATTCTTTTAAAATTACATAATTATATAAATAATAAAGTTTACAATTTTGATCTTGTTTTTACATTTTTACATTTTTTACATTTTTTTCTGTGGCACAATGTGGTGGCTTTAAGCACATTCACATTGTCTGCAACCATCAACACTACCAGAAATTTTTTCTTCTTGCAAAACTCAAAAACTTGACCCCATTAAATACTAACTTCTCATTCTCTTTGCCCAGCCACCCACTCAGCCCTGAGAAGCCCTTGGTCCTACTTCACTTATCTATGGATAGTTAGATATCAGTAGAATCTCAGTGTATTGTTTTTTTTGTGTCTGGTTTGTGTCACTGAACAAAAGTTCATCCTTGTTATAGCATGTGTGAAAATTTCTTTTTTCAGGGATGAGTACTATTTCACTGTATGAATATGCCACATTTTGTTTATCCATTTATCTATATACACACACTTGAGTTTGCTTTTACCTTCTGGCTCTTGTGAATGATGCTGCCCGTAACATGGGTACACAAATATGTCTTTAAGTCCTGGATTGCAATTATTTACGGTAGATATCCTGATGTAAAGGTGAACTGCTATTTTTACTTGATTTATTCACTGCTCTTAAACTCCTGTGCTCAAACCATTCTCCTACCTCAGCCTCTGGAGTAGATAGGAGTATAGGTTCAGACCACTGTGCTTGGTTTGGTAATTTGGTAATTATATTTTAAATTTTCTAAGGGATTCTTCAACATTTTAATACAAAAAGTTTGTAAAGAGTCTCTTATTGGATTTAAATTTTTCTAAATATATAACCTCCATTAATATTTCCAGAGTGCTTACAGAGTGTTAATGCAACAGACAATCAGCCTGTCGATCAGAAAACACAGGGAAAAGGGAACAGCCTAAACCAGGCTGAACATTTGTCCTCTCATAGTGGACCAGAACAACTTCCTGCTATACCACAACTTTGTTTTGTATCAACCATAGTACTGCTACTAGTAAAAATAATAACAACAGCAATAATTATAGCTACCATTTCTAGAGTATCAACCATGTCCCTAGTAATGAGGAAATTTTATTTTTTCTGATTTATTTATGTGTTTAGTTTTTGTGGTACTGGGATTTTAACATAGGGCCTACACAATGAACCACCCAGTAACCCATTTTGTGATGGGTTTTATCAAGGAAGGGTCTTGAAAACTATTTGCCAGGGCTGGCTTCAAACTGCAATCCTCCTGATCCCTGTGTCCTGAATAGCTAGGATTACAGGCAGCTGTGAGCCACCAGTGCCTATATGTACAGGGTTTTTCACTATGATATTTCCATACATGCTCACAATGTACCTTGGTTAGATTCATCCCCTCTATCATTCTCCATAATCCCCTTGCCTGATAGTTAAAACAATTTCAACAGATTTCAATGTTTTAATTTCATGTAAATCTATAAAGTACCTTGACCATATAAACTCTCCTTTGTTCTCTCCATTCACGTCCCCCACCCCCACCATTAGTACATAATCCCTAACAAGACCTGTAAATTTATTACAATTTAACACTAGTTTAACAATAGCAGTCAGGCTTGATAGTTCCTAAAATATGATTTTTAAAATTTTTTTTAATTTTAGCATTAGAGAAGCACACCCATTTTATTTTATATATCTTAATACATAAAATTTACCCAAGAAGTAATGGTGAAGGAAAGAATGAGAGGGAGATTATGAAGGGAAAATGTCTTAATAATACTAGAAGTTAAGGCATCAATGGAATTTAAGTAAAATTCAAGAAATAATTATTAGGTGCTCCACACCTTTTTCCAACAAATGATAGTTGCATGTCTGTTTCACTGTCACACATATCTGTGTTCCAGCAGGCCACTCAACAAGATGGAATCAGAAAACCAAACAGATGCAGCAGAATTCCTCCTCCTGGGACTCTCAGAGGATCCAGAACTGCAGTCCATCCTCTTTGAGCTGTTGCTGGCCATGTATTTGGTCACTGTACTTGGAAACCTGGTTATCATCCTGGCAGTCAGCTCTGACACTAAACTCCACACTCCCATGTACTTCTTCCTCTCCAATTTGTCCTTTGTTGACATCTGTTGCACCTCCACTATAGTCCCTAAGTTGCTGATGAACATCCAGACAGGAAACAAAACCACTACTTCTGCAGGCTGCCTTACTCAGGTCTATTTTTTCTTGCTTTTTGTGTGTATGGACAATTTACTCTTGACCATAATGGCCTATGATTGCTATGTAGCTATTTGTCATCCTTTGTATTATACAGCCATCACGAACCCTGACCTCTGTGTCTTGCTGGTTCTGGTCTCCCTGTTCATCAGCAGTGCAGGTGCCCTGCTGCACACTCTGATGATGTTGCATCTATCTTTCTGTACACACCTAAAAATCCCCCATTTCTTCTGTGAACTTACTCAGATCCTCAAGCTTGCTTGTTCTGATACTCATATCAATAACATCCTGGTATATTTAGTAACCATTCTGTTAGGTATTGGTCGTCTCTCTGGAATAAGCTTCTCTTACACTCAAATTATCTCCTCCATCCTGAGAATCCCATCAGCTGGTGGAAAGTATAAAGCTTTTTCTACCTGTGGGTCTCATCTAATTGTGGTTTCCTTGTTCTATGGGACTTCTATTTGGGTTTACCTTAGCTCTGCAGTTACTGATTCTCCCAGGAAGACTGCTGTGGCCTCGATGATATATGCTGTTCTCACTCCCATGATGAACCCCTTCATCTACACCCTTAGGAACAAGGACATGAAAGGGGCCTTAAGAAAATTCGCTTTAGGATCATTTTCCTTTTCACGCTTATATTAAGGGCCTTAAGTGTGGGCTTCCAGAATCAGAGAGACTGAATTACTGGGCATGCCAGAAATCCTGTCTATTTCTTAATTCAGTTCTCCTGGAAATGACTTACCATGATATTTGAAGATAATTAGTTTTATCTTGAATCTTGCTTCCCTATGTTTTACTCTATGTCATTGACTTACTAACACTCTGTGCTCAATTTCTACTTCTATAAAATGGGCCGAGGAAAAATCGCACTTAGTAGTGAATTTTTTAATTATAACTCTAGTATTGTAATATCTGAGAAAATTCAATAAATTGTATGTGAATAGAAATTTGTCTTTATTGAGCACTACTAAAATTAAAGAAATAATCACTGAGTTTATAACCTTATGTTAGAAAGCCTGTAAGGGATGCTATTTTGCTTCCACGTTAATTATTAACTGAAATCTCACTTTGCGTCATCTTCATTTTTCTTTTTACTTTGTGCTCATTTCTTCTGGACTCTATACAGATAAATGATTTTGAATAAAGTACTTTGTGATTTCTCATGTAATTTCTACATTATATAAAAATGCATTTCTTTTTGATTAGGAGGTATTAGTTGAACAGGAGAGTTTAATTGTGACATTTACATATGTGCTTACAATGTATCTTAATTAGATTCACCCCCTCCATCATTCTTCTTCATCCTCCATTCCCCTTGAAGTGCATTGCTTTCTTTCTTTTTTGGGTAGTACTGAGTGCAGCTTGAACTCAGGGCCTCATGCTTGATATCTCCACCAGCTCTTTGTTGAGTTGGGTATTTTTCAGATAAGGTCTCATGAACTATTTCCCCTAGAATGGCTTCCAAATGCAGTGTTCCTGATCTCTGCCTCCTGAATAGCTAGGATTACAGGCCTGAGCCTCTGTCACCTGACTAGAAATGCATTTATTCACATCCAAATATAAGAGGATATCTTTTCATGTTGTGATTTATTTCTAGTCTAGTTGCACTGTGGTCAGAGAATATACTCTGAAATTAAAAATTCATCTTTTATAAACAAGTTTGTGGTCAAACTTAGTAAATATTCCATTTGTTCCAAAAAATTATATGTGTGCTATACAATTGTGGAATGCATTGTTCTTTATATATCAAAAAGTTAAGTTTGGACCAGGCAAGGTGACCCCACCAGTAATCCTAGCTACTCAGGACACAGAGATTGGAGGATTGTGGCCAGCCCCCGGTGGTTAAAAAAAAGTTTGCAAAAACTGTTTGGAAGACCCCATCTCATTCATTGGATGGGCACGGTGGCTTTTGACTGTCTTCCCAGCTACTCAGGGATGCACTAATAGGAGGACTGTTGTTCAGGATGGCCCAGTATAAAGTAAAATGCTGTCTCAAAAATAACCAAAGCAAAAAGGGCCTATGGTATGGCTGAAGTGGTAGAGCGCCTTCCTAGAAAGCATGAGGTCCTGAGTTCAACCAGCAGTAACAGTCCCCCTCCAAAAAAGTTAAGTTTCTTATCATGTTCAGATCCTGATTTTGTTGATCTCATTGTATTGTTAATCATGGAGTGACATATGTTAAAATCACCTACTTTGATTTTGAATTTGTCTATTTCTATTGTAATTAAGTCAAATGACTATTAAATGAGTATACATTCAGAATTATCATTGTCATAGCTTTCTGGTGCCTCTGACCTGGAAATTACTGTGTAGTTCAGGCTGGCCTTGATGTCATGATTCTCGTGTGTCAGCCTCCAAAGTATCAGATCTTTTATATTTATGAAGTCACCTTTGCTATAATTGGACAAGTTTTTACATTAATATCTACTTTGTCTGATAGTAACAAATTGTAGTTACATGAGCCTTTTCTGGGTCCTCCAGATGATGGGAGACCTGGATTCAGCCCATACTTCCAATTGATTTACTTCCAAAACTCCTTTATTTCTAAGACATATCTTGTTATGGTCCCAGGGCAAAGAGAGAAGACCTTGACTCTCACTCTTCACTCCTGAGCCACTTCAGATTCACATTGCTCCTCAACTGGATGTTCTCTAAATTTAGTCCTGGTGCCCATTTCACCTCTTTTGAGCCATATCGTCTCCTGGTATGTACATAGTGATTTGTTCTATATTCTTTAAAAAATATTTGTTTCTTATGTTATTCTTGGTAGGACTGAAGTTTTAACTCAGGACTTTGCCCTTGCAAAGCAGGTACTATACCACTTGAGTCACCCTGCAGTTCATTTTGCTATAGTTATTTGGACATGGGATCTCATGAGCTATTTACCTAGACTGGCTTTGAACTACAGTACCCCAGAGCTCAGCCTCCCAGGTAGCCAAGATTACAGGCATGAGCCACTGTTGCCTGGCTATTTTTATTTTTATTTATTTATTTTTTTGGTGGGACTGGAAGTTGAACTCAGGGCTTTACACTTGCAAAGCAGGTGCTCTATCACTTGAGTCACAACTCTAGTCCCAATTTCTCTCTCTCTCTCTTTCTTTTTTCCATCTTTCTTTTTTGTGGCAGTACTGGGGTTTGAACTCAGGGCCTTGTGCTTGCTAGCAGGCACTCTAGTATTTCAGCCACATCCCCAACCCCTTTTTTAATTTTTAATAAAAACTTTTTTAGTTTTCTCATTGCAGATGTGGAAATAGAGGCATAGAGAGGTTAAGCAATGTCCCAAAGGCTGCACAGCTGGCCTGGGTTAGTGAAGATCAGGATCCAAAAGCCCACTGAAATTCCACACCATACCCTCCATTCCATGTGGCCTTAATAAGCATAATATCTAAATGTTTTCTTAGTCACACAGCATGGAATTATTTTTGAAATTAAATTAGTGTGAACTGAGACCACAAAGAGGCTACTCTTTGATTCAAAATCCTCAAAATATACCTGTGGAAACACTGAGAGGATAGGGTCCATGGATATTTTCAGCTGAATATTTTTTTATCTGTACCCTCACTGTTGTTATGTCCACAAATGCTGAACAATAACCAATAGACTGTTGGATTTATGAACTGGCTGTTTTCTTCACCAATCATAATTTTGCAAAACAGTTTACATAATTGAAGTTTTTATTATTGACCTTTTTGCTTCCTTTTACAGCATAGTTTACTTGCTACTGGTCCTTGTGTCTGCAGTATTGCAATTCCTTAAAAGATCCAGAATCAGTATTTTTTATTCAAGTCTCCTAGCTGGTTTTGTTTCAGGTTTATTGACACCATGAACTTTGGGCAGTGATTCTTATTATAGTTGCCAGGTGCTAAGTACTTACATATACTACACTAGATATTCTCAAAATATAGTTACTGGAGCAGTAGTAGCAGTACCCAGAAAGTTGATAAAAATAGAGAATCAGGAGCTGGGGCACAACTCAAGAGATAGAGAGCTTGCCTAGCATGCCTGACATCCTTTGCTCAATCTCCATTAGGGATTAAGGGTCTCATGTCTATAATGCCATCATTCCTGAGGAAGAGATCAGGAGGATCAGAGTTCAAGGCCAGCCCAGAGAAATAGTTCATGAGCTTCTATCTCCAAAATACTCAAGAAAAAAAAAGGGTTGGAGTTGTGGCTCAAGTGGTAGAGAGCCTACCTAACAAATTGGAGGCCCTGAGTTCAAATCCTAGTACTGTGAAAACAAATAAATGAATAAAAACAAATAAATAAATAGGAATGCAGATTCTCAGCCCACTCCCCAGACCTGTTGAGACCTGGAAACCAAATTCTCACATGCTCCAAATCAGGACTTTGTTTACCCCCAAAAGCCCAGTATTAATTAATTACCCACACATACTTAAATATGCCCTGTTATGGCTTGAAGAGGTCCCCAAGATTCATGTGTTGGAAACATAGTTTCTTCTATTTCCATGTCCTCAATATTTACAGGTGGAGCTTTCTGGGTGCAGTAGTTTTTTTTTTTCTTCATTTTGCAGTGTTAGGATTGAATTCATGTCTCATGCATGCTAGGTAAGCACTTGACTTGACCCTGTAAATAACTGGGGTTAAAGGACTCATAGGGTCAGGCCCTCATGATGAGATTATTGGCTTTATAAAAAGATGAAGAGCTGGGGGAATGGATCAAGTGGTAGAGTGCTTGTCTGGCAAGCTCAAGGTTCTGACTTAAAAAAAAAAGCTGGGTGCTGGTGGCTCATGCCTGTAATCCTAGCTACTCAGGAGAGAGAGCTGGAGAATCTTGGTTGGAAGCCAGCCCCAGTAAATAGTTTGCAAGACCCTATCTTGAAAAAAACCATCACACACAAAAAAAGGACTGGTGGAATGGTTTAAGGTGTAGGCCCTGAGTAAAAGTCCTAGTAATGGAAAAAAAAATTTTTTTAAAGAGGAAGAGAGAAGAGAGCAAGCCAGGACCTCTCTTTCACTCTTGCAAGTTCATCTGGTGCAGATACTACTTTAAAGCTGACTGAGAAATTCTAAAGGAGGAACCCAACTTTCTAATTTTGTTTTGTTTTGTTTTTTCTGGGTCTTGCCAGAAAATTTCTTACTCAGAACCAAGGAAAATCTTCCTGGCAAAATTGTCAGTTTCTGGGTTGGCATTCAAGGTAGAATTGACAATGTTCTGTGATGAATTCCATGCATATGTGCAACATATAAAGGATCCAAGGCAGGGCACCGGTGGCTCATGACTGTAATCCTAGTTACTTGGGAGGTTGAGATTGGGAGGATCATGGTTCAAGGCCAACCCAAGCAAATAGTTCTGGAGACCTCCCCCATCTCCAAAACAACCAGAGCAAATTGGACTGGAGGTGTGGCTTAAATGCTAGAGGGCCTGCTTTGTAAATGTGAAGCCCTGAGTTCAAACACCAGTCCCAAAAAAAAAAAAAAAGAGAGAAGTGTTTAAAGTGGACAAGTGCCCATAAAACTCCAAGTGGGGAATGCTGCAGTTTGGCATCTAGGGTAGAGGCATGGGATATGACTGCAAATTTGAGAGTTTAGATTTTATAAATAGTACTTGAGGTAGGAATAGTCATAGTCACTGCTACCAGAGATTGATTTTAGGACGAGAAGACAGTGAGGAGTGACCTACA